ATGGTTGGCATCAGCATTTGCTGTACAATCTTTTCCTTTACTGTAGGGCATAGGCAGGATTTATTTCTGTACAATATATGAGATAGACACATTGCATGCAAAGCAAGATAGTTCAAGCCATGATTTATCATAAATGCGATAATTATGGCTTACAGCTCATGAAAACCTCAAATCCACAATTTCAGTAAATTAGAATATTACATGCAATCAATAAAACAAGGAGTGTACATAGAACAATATCGGACCTCTGAAAATTATAAGCATTCAAATGGACTCAGTACTTTGTTTGGGCCCCTTTTGCAGCAATTACTGCCTCAATGCGGCGTGGCATGGAAGCTATCAGCCTGTGGCACTGCTGAGGTGTTATGGAAGACCAGGATGCTTCAATAGCAGCCTTCAGCTCTTCTGCATTGTTCGGTCTCATGTCTCTCATCTTTCTCTTGGCAATGCCCTATAGATTCTCTATGGGGTTCAGGTTAGGCTAGTTTGCTGGCCAATCAAGCACAGTAATCCCACGGTCATTGAACCAGGCTTTGGTGCTTTTGGCAGTGTGGGCAGGTCCTGCTGGAAAATGAAGTCAGCATCCTCATAAAGATCGTCTGCGTAAGGAAGCATGAAGTGCTCCAAAATCTCCTGCGTTGACCCTGGACTTAATGAAGCACAGTGGACCAACACCAGCAGATGACATGGCTCCCCAAATCAACACAGACTGTGGAAACTTCACACTGGACTTCAAGCATCTTGCAGTGTGTGCCTCTCCATTCTTCCTCCAGACTCTGGGTCACTGGTTTCCAAATGAGATGCAAAAATTTCTCTCATCAGAAAATAGGGCTTTGAACCACTGAGCAACAGACCAAGTCTGTTTTTCTTTAGCCCAGGTAAGATGCTTCTGACGTTGTTTGTTGTTCAGGAGCGGCTTGACAAGAGGAATGCGACATCTGAAGCCCATGTCCAGGATCCGTCTGTGTGTGGTGGCTCTTGTTGCACTGACTCCAGCCTCAGTCCACTCTTTGTGAAAGTCCCCAACACTTTTGAATGGCCTTTTCCTGACAATCCTCTCCAGGCTGTGGTCATCCCTGCTGATTGTGTGCCTTTTTCTTCCACACTTTTCCCTTCCACATAACTTTCTATTAATGTGCTTTGATACAGCACTTTGGGAACATCCAACTTCCTTCACAATTACCTTTTGAGGCTTTCCCTCCTTATGGAGGGTGTCAATGATGGTTTTCTGCACAACTGTCAGGTCAGCAGTCTTCCCCATGATTGTGATTCCTACTGAACCAGACTGAGAGACCATTTAAAGGCTCAGAAACCCTTTGCAGGTGTTATGGCTTACCTAGCTGATTAGAATGGGACACTGTGAGCCTAGAATATTGCACCTTTTCACAATATTCTAATTTACTGAGATTGTGAATTTAGGGTTTTCATGAGCTGTAAGTCATAATCATCGCACTTATGACAAATCGCGGCTTGAACTATCTTGCTTTGCATGTAATGCATCTATCTCATATATTAGTTTCCCCTTTTACGTTACATTACTGAAATAAATGAACTTTTGCACTATATTCTAATTTTTCGAGTATTACCTGTAGAAATAGAATCCTAATTTAGATTGTTTATTGGTGTGGAATACAAAATGATAATCAAAAAGGCAACAGCCAGCAATGAAGGGAGATCGGACATTCACACTCACCTCCGCGGATGACCAGGCACAATTTCTCCGCCAGCTGAGAAGACAAGAGGCGGAAAACAAAGAACCCAGAGAAGCCGACACCTGGAAGCAAAAAGACGCACAGAGCAAACCAGGGCCCACAAAGAGTCACCACACCGCAACGTTACCGAGGAGACAATTACTCACCTAAGCGGCTTACCACAGCACTCACTTAGCACACCACCAACTCCCAGGTGATAGAGTATATACGCGGCACCATACTGATTGGGAAAACCATAAACCAAGTTATACGCCCCAGAAATCCAATCCAATTCCAGATGTTATACCATTCTAGCTATAACTAGAGACATTCCTCTCCCAGATGTTTAGCTCACAGAGAGCGCAAGGTTGGAGACCCCACAAACACCTTTGAAAACGGGACTGTCTGCATTAATACGGGCTTGAGAAGTGCCGTAACAAAGGGTCACAAGGAACCTGAGGTTGCAGAGTAACCAACATTAGGCGCTTTAAAACTGACATCATGGACTGTTACAGAAACTTTGTTTTGCAGTTCTTTACATTTCCCATACTATGACACTGTTGTATTATGAGCACTAAACCTCTAATAAAATACAAATTAAAAAAAAAAGGCAACAGCCAACCCAAATCCATTCCATATATGACATAGGATCTTAATACCACCATCAGAATATACTGGATTTTTTTTTTTTTTTTTTAAAGCTGAGATGTGGGACTGTTTTTTGCAAAAACTCTCATATTTTCCTTTGCCAAACTTGTGCCCATGCACATGCCACTATGCAAAACTTAAATTACCCCAATTTGTATATTTTTATGGTCTACATAAAGCCTACTCACTATATGAGGATTTACTATGACATCTTCATTGGGATTTTTTTTTCTTTAATACTTACTTTTAGATAACACTCTTAAGCATTGTTTAATACATTCAATGGTTTTCCTCTATTCTCAGTAAATTGTGTAATATCATAGTGATCTTGTCTGAATGTTTTATGATAAGAGTCGCAAATAAATAACTCTGCACAAAATGTATCTCGAACAGATGGGATTTTTACCAGCAGTCTTCTTGGAATCACACTATATTAAAGGAAATTGCCCACTTTCGTCTACTGTCACTTTAATTGCGTTATTTAAAAAATTATGAGTTTATATTCTCTCTAAGTGTATATTGTCTGTGTGATTTATTAACATACCATGTAAGATTGCTATAAAAGAACATTTAGTAAATAATATAATTCACTTTAAGAGGCACTTTTAGGAGTCTCTGAAATAATATTTCATGTCAGATACCAGATTAGAAATTGCTTGAGGGTTTTTGGATGAAAGATGTGATTGCTGCGGGCATTGTAGACCAAGTCATGAAAAAATGAGGTCAGATATTGAAAGTACTAGAAATTGAGTTGCTTATAATTCACACCCTATGTAATTTATCATAGTACGAATGGTGTCAGAACCGCAGGCTATCTTACTGATGTCAGTGGATCTTAGGAACCGATTGATGCTCCTAGTCAGTTTCTTTCTGTTATTTAACCTCCATGATTATTTAATATTCTCCTGTTTTATTTATGTCAGACAATGAGATTTATGCACTTAATAGTAAGCTGATGGAAATTGGCAATCAACTAAGAAAAAGCAAAAGTGCTATCTAAATTTTGCACTCTAGTTAGCAAGACACAATTCACTATTGTCACACATTTTGTAACGTAGACAATGTTACTTTTCTGCCACTATATTAGATGGAATAAGCACAACTACAGGGCATTGCACTGGAAAGGCAGATTCCGGTTTCCTACAGAAAATGAGTGACAGTTTTAGTGACCAACTGGTTCTCTGTACCCAATTTTTGTAAATTATATTTTATTTTATTTTATATTCCTTATTTTTGGTAGTGCTAAGCATAACAGATATGTAGGTATTGACATTCCACATTAGTTCGATCAGTAATTCACAAGTATAAGAACAATGGTAAAATTCAGAATATGGCACTTTTTTTATTTTTTATATTAAACGAGATAAGAGCAACTATGAATCCTGCTGTGGTAAGTTGCTGAACATATAACCTCTGGGGTACGATAAAGCAAAATAATACCACATGACTACCATAAAGAGCAACACAAAACACAATATCAATAGGAAACAATAACCGGTATCGAGGTACATGTCACATTAAGTCGATAAGATGTCGATTGCCACCTTCGGGTGGAAAGATAGCTAAGCGGCAGTCCCTCAGATTAGATCAGCCAACTCTCTGAGGTGGCAAAGGTACTTCACAGCTAGAGAAGGTTATGAAATGTATGAATAGTGGCTAACAAATATATGTTACTAAATAAGGTAAGTCGTGTTAGGTGGTCCCGCCTTCTGCTGAGCGTGGGGATTACTTTACTAACGGCTGTGTGTTATTATAATCTATTCACAACCAGGTGCTACTAGATGATATTGAAATAGGGGATTTAACTTCAATCTCTAATTTTACCCACTGTCAGTTTTCCCGACTGTGGTTTAATCAAGTCTGGGGTCTGCTTTGGACTTCCCCAAATATTCTCTGACGATCTATACACCATATTCAGAGCTACACAGGCAATACTCTTTTGAAGCTTGATCATATATCCCTATGCCACTTCGCTATTATTAATAGGGTTACCTATTCATATCTACTCACTATATACATTGTATATCTCTCCAAGGATACTGTTTCTATGTTTAATCTAGATCAGTATCGTTTGTTGGCTATATTGTAACAAGTACAACTTGTACTTATTAGCTCCAGTAGTTGGTCCGATTTTATACTTTTTATTTCTTTTCTACACTTATTATTATTGTTTCACTTTTTGGTGCCTTGGTATATTTAGATGTGTGTACCCGGTTAGGGCAATAAAGTTTTTCATATTTTATTTCATTTTAAGACTGGTTGTGCCTATGTGGATAAGGCACTTTATGCCAATTATTTCTACTTAGTCATTACTACTAGGGTAATAGGACTGGAATCAGGTGTGCTATTTTGCAGATCCTGTATCAGCTCTTCCTATCATCGTTGTGAGGATAAGTTGCTATGCAAGAAAGCTGGACTTGTTGGGGTGAGGTAAGACTTAGGTTAAAGAGGGAATCAAAGTGTTATTGTTGCATTAAGGTGTAATGTTAAGTGCTAATGTTCAGTATGAGAAGTAGACTCACGATCTGGGGTTACCGGTAATATATGCTTATGTGATGTGTCTTAATGCTCTGAAACGGTACTGCACGGTATGATAAACTTAACAGTAAAACGTGTTATGAATTTGCAATGTATGCAGTCGGCCGTAACAGTGACCTGGATGGTAAGTGGGAAGTTAGCTAGTGCCCTTGTTCAGAGTGTATGTGTGGAGTCAAAAATACCCCTAACCGTGGAGGCAGCGGGGCACAGGGTTTACACTACGCTGGTCGGAAACTCAGCGTCGGTTCTTTACACAGGTCCGCATAAGCGGGCATGACTGGGCGACCTCATCAAGGTCCCTCTCTGGGCAATAGCCTTAGAGCCATGTTTGAATGGGGCGTCAGGAAAATATAAAGTAAAATATATGCAATAAACAAACTGAAGTAAATGGAGGAGTTCAACAATCTAGTAAAGTAATACTAACTAAAAGCCTGTTTTAAAATGGCAATAAGTCAAGTCACAGAGTTCTGTCCCCTGGGACGTCTCACGAGTGTCCAGGTTGGGGCCTCCGATCCTCTGCTGGTGTATCTGTTACGCCGAGGGATGCTAGGAATAGAGCAGCCTCTTTAGGCGACGTAGCTCTGTAGGTCTTATCTGCTGTATGCACTATTAAAGCCCTTGGAGAGGACCGCTTCCTGTAATTTCTGGGTAATGGGTCGCATGGCTCGTCTCCATTGCAGGGTGGAGCGGGTGAGATCGTGATAGGTCAGGTTGTGTGTTTTGAAGTTTAGTGGTGCTTTATCTCTTACTGTGTTCATGAGCTTTTGCTTATCCGCCCAGGATTGAAATCGGACTATTATGTCTCTAGATGAGGCAGTAGGTGCTCTGGGTGACTTAGCTATTCGGTAGACACCATAAAAAACACTATTGATTTCGCCAGTGTTGTATTACACAGCTTAGGCTAGCAATCTTCTTATGAGGTGGGGTAGCTCCTCTGATGCCACTGCACCCCTCTGATTTTCAAGTTTTTCCTCTGGCCTCTGTCATCGAGGGAGTCTACTTGGTGGTAGTATGTGAGGACTGTAGATTTTGCACCTTCCCATGCTCGGTGCGCTCACCATGTTTTGCCCTCTGTGTGCCTGCAAGCAGCTTGCTGATGTCTCTCGTCCCTTGAAATGCATTAGGTGTTTTCGGCTTTGTGCTACACATCCCCGTGGGAGAAAGTGCAGTCTCGGGAGGAGGTGAGTATAGGGCTCAGTCAGCAAAGGCCTCTGCAGCCTTCCACAAGCCATATGGCCTGCGAGTCCTCTGGGTCTTATGGGATGGCTTTGCCTGTGAGCCATAAACAGAGGGCATGGATACGTTCCCTGCTTGCTCCCTCACACCAACTTAGCACTGCAGAGGGTCGATGTGGCTTGAGACGGATTATAGGTTTTGGCCTAGAAACATTAAGAAATGGCATCTGCTCCGTCTTGTTGCTTGGCCCCGCCCCCCTTTTTGTCCTTGAGTTTTGTTTTTGGACTTCCAACTTCCGATTCTGGGTTTAAGTTGCACAAACTGAAAAGGACATATCAGCTGGAAAAGATGCATATTACAAGAGAAGGTTACAAGTAGTTGAGGTAGATAACACTTATTGAGTCAACACTTACAGTCAAAAGCCATCATTTAGCCACACTACTAAAGTATGATTGACTACATAAGCACCTAAAAAAAAAATGAGTAAAAAGTTGTCCTGCAAAGGTATTCAAGAAGGACAATAAAGATTCTTCTGTAAAATGGTGCTAACTACTATTACTTTGAAGTTAGGGCTATCTTACAATAAGAAGCTTTAAGAAATCAGTAGCACTATACTCAGTATATCTGTCCTGCACAATACACTGTAATTACTCCACCTGGCACCATTAGTAAGCAACTCTCAGTAATTAATTGGTACACTAATAAATAAGCTGTGTTTATCCTTTATTTCTTTTAAAAAAAAAAATTATTTAAATTATCAATGGATTTGTGACTTTTACTAATAAAGGGCACAAAAAAAAAACAACCTGATTTAAAGCCGATTTGCCAGAAAGGAAGGCCAGGGCTTGGGTGCATAGGGATTTATTTATTACCAGGTTGGACCTCCTTGCTTATCAAGGACTAGTCAATTTTGTTCTTTGTCTGTTGTGTGATGTTTAGCTTATAATAAAAGTAATGTTTTAATCATTTTTCACATACAGATCGTCCTTTATCTGTAGGCCCCATTTTATAGATACACTCATACACTACTTTTATACACTAACACTACAGTCCTACACTAACACGCTGTTCAAATATATACCTGGTTTAATACAATAACGCACACCAACATTCCTCACAAACAATGCTCTGATATTTACACACACTCACACTCTGCTTAAACACACATCTGTGTTTATACTCAAAATAATAACACTCCTTGCAAAAATGCTACACACACACCACCACCACACTGCTTCAATAAACCCTTGCATTCAAAAATAAGGATACACTGCACTGAAACTACATGCTATTCCATGCCTGCATTCACACAAGATTGTCCATAATAATACACATTGACATTTGCAAACCAAAGTTCCCAAACATTTCAACACAAATGCCTTCCACACTAATGCATCTACATTTACACCAACACTCAACCAAAGTACCTGTCTACTCACCCACACTTTGACACTCCAAACACATGCTTTCCTACATTCACAGACACTCAACCTTCCTTTCATACAACAACAATAAACAGAAGTACATATCTGCATTAACACAAATACACTACATTCGACTAAACCTCAGCATTTTGCTCACTGGGGATACACAAATATTCTATCTTATTTAGAAACACTAGACAAATACATTCCTACTTTGAAATTTACAATGGCAATCTGAAACACAATGCAATAAAAATGCATCACTTTTTCCACTTTCTGTAGACAAAATTTTTTCACTATGCTACATACTTACACTACACACAAATATACATTCACATTTATACTGCCATTATACAAAGAAAAGCATATAGATCATGCACAAGTTCATTCACATTGACTCTACAAACATTCAAATAGTCACATTCATACACAGGCCTTCACGCTACACACAACCAAAGGAATAAGCAATGTGACATGAAACTCATGTGTAACATTTATTAAATGAATGTATATTGATATTCTAAAACAGAATTATACCTGAGGGCCCAGAAGGCTGTCCACCCGTTCCAGTTTTTATAACTTTGTGGTAACTTCAGAAGCACCATTATGAAGTCCGCATGGGTTAACACATCTCGTTTTTTATTACTGCATCTGTGTGAAGGCCCCTTTGAGTGTTTCTTTGTTTAGTTCATATTGTATGTTTCATTTCTGGTTATGTGTTTTGCTCTGCTCTTTTGTTTGTAGTCTGCATGGAGTATTCTAAAGGGTAGAAAATTTAAAAAAATTGCATGCAGAGGGAAAAAAAGGAAATATTAGGCATGTGCATGGGGAAAATTTTCGGTTCGGTTCAGCATTTTGAAATTCAGGACTTCGGGGGTTCTGTTCGGCACTTCGGAATTTCAGAAACTTTGGCATTTTGGAATTTTGGGACTTTGGCACTTTGGGACTTCTCTTGCAGCCGCTTAGCAGACAACTCCCTAATTCCCATGGTATTACTTAGTATTAGTAAATTATGCCCCTACTCGCTATTTGACTCATAACAACACTCTGATTGGTTCATTGAAAGTAACCAGTCAGACAGTTATGAGTCAAATTACACAGCGTGGGAAAATTCCAAAGAACTTTCCCACACTGTGTAAAATGACACAGAGCACTCTGATTGGGTGGTTTTCAAGCCAACCAACCAGAGTGTTCTGAGCCTAATTGCAGGGCGGGGCATGGGCGTCCGCAGGAATTTTTCCGGGGGGTGGGGGGGCATAATTGTAATGATATCCATGCTTGGCCCCTTTTTGACAGTGTCATGAAAGGGAAGGAGCATAGTCATTTTCACATAAAGCCAGGGTGAATAGCTTTTTTACAACTATGGTGTCAGGTATATATGTTTGTATTCCTGACACTATAGTGTTCCTTTAATCAAATTAAAGGAACATTCTGGTCACCATAACAACTTCAACTAAATGAAAATGTTATAATGCAAGGAGGCCCCTGGGCGCTCTCTTTCCTTTAAGGTTTACCCCCAAAGGCTTCCTCCATCTCCAGATCTCCAGGTTGCTCAGTGGTATTCAGCTTCTTAAACGGAGTGTCAGGAAGTGCAGATTGACGTTAGGCATGGGTGCCGCTGATTGGCTAGAGTGGTCAGCAGACGCTCTAAGCCAATCGCTAGTTCCCGATTCATAAACATGTTTTACGTTTTCATGAATGGGGAGCTACTGATTGGCTTAGAGTGCCAGCTGACCCTCTAGCCAATCAGCGGCACCCCTACCCAGAGGCCCTCTATGATTCCTGACACTCAGTAAATTAAAGTGAACACATTAACACTGATATTTTTTGTTTTTACCTGGGGAGATGAGAAGGTCCAAAGTTTCCCTGCCAGGCTCAGGTACCAAAGCCTTATGATGTGGTGTCCAGAATGAAGTGCTCCAATCTCATTTTCTTCTCCTTCATTTGACACAGTCTTCTTTTTCTTCTGAGGCTCCTTCTGCAGAGGTGGCTCTAGACTTTGAGGCCTTAGGCGAAACTCAAACATGAGGCCCCACTAACAAAAAAGTGAAAAAAATAGAGTTGCAATACATGCACACTGTCACATATACACATTGATGCACAGTTTACCGATGTATGTGCCTGAGAGTGTGTCTGACAGATAGTATCCTTGTGTGTGTGTGAATGTATGTCTCTGTGAGCATGTTTGCATTTTTGTCTGGTACCCTATGTGTATGGGGTAGCTGCTTGAAGAGGGGGGTGAACGTGAGTGGGAGAGGCAGGTGATGGTGGAGGGGTGATGCTGAGGGGGGAGTGATGGTGAGGGGGCGTAATGCTGAGGGAGGGGGTGATGGTGACGGAGGAGGTAATGCTGCTGAGGGATGGGGTGAGGGGGGGGTGATGCTGAGGTAGGGAGTGATGGTGAGTGGGGTAATGCTGAGGGTGGTGATGCTGAGGGAGGGGGTAATGCTGAGGGTGGTCAGCTGGGATGTATGCGCATATACACATACAGTTACACATTGACCCAAAGATACACACACTAACACATCGACACATACACACAGAAGCACACTGACGCATATACATACACTCTAAGGCACTGTCACGGCTGCTAGTGTGGTCCAACACGCAGAAACTATGTAAACATATAGATACAAAATGAAAGGAAATAAAAGGGCGTAAACCGGACCTTAGAATGACCGGACTAATACGCTAGAGATAGAGAATGGTCAAAAGGAAAGCCGAGGTCGACGAAGCCAGAAATACTCAGATACTGTTTAAACAAGCCAAGTCAGGGGAACCAGAATTCGGAATAACCAGGGAAAAGCCAAGATCAGGATACCAGGAAGTAATATTCACAAAGATAAACGCACTCTAGGGAACCAGGAACAGGAAACCACGACAGGGATCTGATTGGTCAGAAGGTGACCTCTGACCCAAGAACGTGCGCGTGCGTTGACATTATGCGCACGTTCGTATCATTTTGGGGGGTGGAGCCATGGATGGACGCGACCTCATGGTCGGCGCCATCTTGGATTTCCCCGAGCGGCGTGGAGGAACGGTTCCCGGCTCGCCACTGAGCAGGTAAGCTCAGTGAGTTGGTGCGGTCGTGCAGGTCGGGCATGGACGCACATGTCGGCGAGCAGGGGGCCGTGACAGTACCCCCACTCGAAGATCGCTCACCGGGCGGGAAGGAGCCGGCTTGCAAGGAAAACGGTTGTGAAATGACCGTACAAGACAGGGAGCATGAACCTGGTCTGCAAGAACCCAACTACGTTCCTCTGGGCCATATCTTTTCCAGTCAACCAGATAAGACAGAACACCTCTAGAGAACTTGGAGTCTAAAATAGTTTGGACTTCGTACTCCTCTTGATTACCTACTACCAAGGGCAGAGGAGGAACAATAATTTTTGTGTATCGATTGCAAGTGAGGGGCTTAAGCAATGATACATGGAAGGAATTAGCAATTCGCATATGAGCAGGGAGTGCCAATGAATAAGTCACAGTGTTTATACGATG